TTTCCCGGGGACATGTGCGACCGCGAACAACCGTGGGCCAGACTTAAAGTTCCCAAGTTGTTCTACAACACTACAGCCTGTAATGAACTTCACAGCACACAGTTGTGTTTATTCACTCGAAATATCTCAAAATTATATACAGTATTATTTCTGGTCTCTGGGTCTTTGGATGTTGTTTTTTTTCTCCGTGCAGGGAACACCACCCAGCATGAAGAGCTAGCATCCGCATTTTGCTGTATTTTGTTTACTGTGCTCTCCCACTGTTTTTTTAGCCAGATCGTCTATGGTTGGCTGTCTGGCGATGTAGCACTTGAAAACAAAAAAGTCAGGAATCAGGAGTCTCTCCTTTTCATTAAATATATCAACCACCACCCAAAATGTGTAACAGCTAGGATCTGCATTTTGAGGTATGTTGTTTGTACACACAGTGCGATTTAACACACATAGCTTCAATTCTGACATTATGCTAGTTTGATGTCTGAATCATAGATTTCCCCTTCCAAAAAGTTATGTTCCCGTTTTCACCTGAACCGACCCTGAGTTGTGAAAATTGCCAGCGAGGGGGGGACAACGGATGCACCGGATGAAAAGGGCTCGGATGAACCGCTCGTTGCTTGGGGGGGGCATCATGAGTTGGCCTGGCCTTGGGTGAAACGTCCTGACCCCACCGTTGCGCGGGCCAGGCCTTTCCCACCTCTCCTCGGAACACCGTCCTCGGTCGGTCACTCTCCACTCTCCGTCCGTCTCCGTGTTGAGCTGCCGACCGGCATGATCCACCAGGCTGTTTGCCTCGCGCCGTCGTGGCTTGGAGCGACGTGTTGACGCAACGAGAGGAGGCGAACACAGCTAGCTATAGAGCCTCTTATGGAGAGCTTGGCTTAAATAGAATGCCAGCTAGGTGTTCGCATAGCTAGGATAAATAGTTCATGCTATTAAAATTAGAATGATAGCTAGGATAAATCCTAACAAAATGGCAGGGCTATTTAGTTCTGCAAGTACAGCCATGTGCACCCAAAGCCCACCAGCTTCTAGGCCACCCCGCCAGTTGCCAAACAGCATCAATCAAGCCATGTTCCCGGCCAATGGTGCCTCCAAGTCAGTGTTTGTTTCAGTCTTGGCACCCAGATTGCCAACCCCCAACTAAATTAAATGCATGCAGGCTTCTGGCTTGACATGGCTTGACCAATGGCTGCTTGAAGCGCAAAAAAGCAGTCTTGGCATATCAGTCCCCCAATTTTCTTCCTGGTGCCGGCACTGTTTGTTTTTCCTTTTTTGACCTTGGATCGTGGCATCTTGAGAAGTACTCCCCCGGCCATCCGAGACTGCGCCAAGCGAAGTGCTTCGCTTGGCAACGCGATGCCAAGCGATGTGCTCATGGCAATGTGTCTTTCTGTTCCTCCGAATGCGTGGCATGCCTCACCGGGACTCCAAATCGGTTTGAGAAGACAGAAAGGACCGGCACTGCACGAAGGTGACATCGGGTTTCCCTGGGAAGTTCACATTTGTTTTGTGGAACATGGTTGCAGTACCTGGTGCATAGTAATTATCTCATTTTTTGGGGAGGCACATCCCAATTTATAGGGCACGTGAGACACACACAGACCGCAAATAATGTGAGGCAGGGGTGACTTCAGAGGTGTCTCAAGTTCATAAACTGGCTGGGAAGCGTGATACTCTTCCGCATTTCAGCTGTAATTCAAACTATCTCATCCTACAAACCATCTAAGATATCTAAGATCGAATCCATATTGACTTGCCACATGGTTTATTCATGTGCATTTTGCTGCGAACTATTCCGAACCCCTAAACCCCCCAACCGACCTTCCACTGACCGCGTGGCCCAGACCGCACGCTCACGCTCACGCTCCGGCCTTGGATGGACAAGACCTTCGGAGCGTGGCCGCGTCCAGGCCTTCGGCACATTGAGACCGGGACCGGAGGCCAGCACCAGGGTTTTTACAGGGTCCCAGGGAGCATGAAAGAATGGGTTCTATTGGGGGGAGAGAAGGATCACTAATAGGTCAAAATGAGGTGCTTTGGTCAAAATGCAGGCTCCCCCAAAAACGGAAAGTCCTCTTCTGCGCAATTGTTCTCGCTGAGAAACACGGAACAATTTCAGTTTCAAACATCTTCAGAGTCACTTCCAAACCAAAAATTACTGAGCGTTTGAAATTTTCAGTTATCTATCAATTCTGCTTCCGAAAGCACTCCACTCTAACTTGGGCAAAGAAGTCAGAGACCATGAAACTTCATCCAACACTCACCCATCGTCTGTGGCCAAACAAAAGACCCCCCAAAGACTTCCGCCCTCGCACCCGGCACCGACCGAGCTCAGCGCCTCCCGCTGCCGAGCGGCGCGGCCGCGGCGGTCGCGGTGGGCAGCTCGCTCAAAGCGCCTCCAGCTCGCCTCCGGAGCGTCCGCACGCGCGACCGAGCGGAAGACGACCAGGAAACGCTGCGGAATGGTTTGTTCCATCTGGTCGCGTGAGCGTTTCGCGGTGCTGGGGAGACATCTGTAACAAGGTTGTTCTTGACAGGAAGAGACAAAGTTAGAGATGTCATATGGAGAAAAATCACACGGAGTGAGGTGTGAGGTCTTGGGGTCCCCCACAGAAGTCGTCCAAGTCTCAACATCAATCAGTATCATACAGACCAACACTCACGCTGGCGCGTGCCTGAGTGACTCAGTCATCGTATCATAAGCCGCTTGTACTTGCAAAGGCGTGCCACCTTAGATCCAAGTTGCCTTGCTAACAAACAATTTGTGTGATGTGAATATACGTGAATTGTGATGGTCTAAACGGGCAAAACCTCTGCAAATTGTCAAATCGGCACATGTAGATGCTCTAGTTTCTGGGAAGGCCCAGTTTGTGGACTGGCAAATGATCTCAAGATACATTTGCCGATCTAGGCCGACATCTGTCTCTGGCTTGCAGAACACATCATTTCATCCAGAACTCAAAAGAGAAGGCTTCAAGAGGCAACATCTTCTACCCGAGGGGACATTGATTTCTGGCCAAGATGCTTAGAGAAACGACACTGTAGCCTTGTGCTTTGGTGTCCTACACACACGCACAGCTCAAAACCTCAAGATACTTCGAGTCTCCAAAACCCTTGCTACATCGGCACATGCACACACGCAGCTGGTGGCTGCTTTCGGAAAAGACTTCTGCACCTTCCGGACGCGAGTCACCCCCTGCAACTGCCGCTGTCAGCTGCAGTGGACCACCCCTGACATCCATCCCTTCCCCCTCTGTCCATCCGCCGTCCTGGTTCACGGCAATCTTGGCTCCGGTGCTGGCCTCAAACCACCGAGGGTCCACCCCTTGCTTCGTGCGACACCCGATGCGCCCGGCTGATGCCTCGATGTCCTTGACAGCGGCGCCGGCTTTGCCCAGAAGCCATCCCACCCACTGCTGCTCGACCTGGGTAGCTTCTTGGGCAGTTTCCTCTTCTATAGATCTACTGCAACGACGTACACCTTTAATCCAGGTTCCTGAAAACCACAGGGTCCGAACTTTCTGAGAAAATTCCGGGCTTTCACCGTAAAAGACCGCCTGTGCCAGCTCTAAGCCTTTGGCCGTCACCTGAGTGCTGATGGAGCTTCCTGAGTGGGATTGGGAAGTCTTCCATACAGCTGTGAAGTGCTGGATTGAAAATGGATTGAACACATAATAATATATAATAATATATTGTTTAAAAAATAGTTAAAATGGCAATGGCCTCCAACCTAATAGCGATGGCCTCCAACCGCCTAATAGCGATGGCCTCCAACTTGATATCACGGCCTACTTCAAAATGTTCTGTGTAAGTCCCAAAACTTGTCCAAGACTTCTGAGGGGGAGGACCAAAACAAAAGCAGATGCTACAAAAACAAGATATTTATCACTTGTCTAGAACTAAAAAAAATCACTCTATATGGGTTATGTTGGGTTAGAGTCGGATTCGGAAACTCCAGTTGCGGCAATCCCACTTGTTTCCCCTTGGTTGGGGTGCACGATCACGCGAATTCGCGCTTCCGGCGACCACGGCGTCCTCGGCTGCCGCCGGCGACTGGGGGGAAGTCCGCCGCCGCGACGGCTTGAGCACGGACAGCCTCGGGCAGATCGCCGCAGCCGCTAGGGAGCTCGAAATCGTGAGAAGTGTGGAAACCTGTTTTAACCGAAGAAGAATTGAGAAACGTTTTTTGATCGCCCTTGATCCATCCTCTTGAAAGTTACCATATCTTGTTGAATCTTGTTGACATATATTTGCTCATGTGAAAAGGCAAAACCCCAGACATAGTGAAGACAAGTGGTTGGTGCTTGCGGTTGCATTTCGGAGAGATAGAAAGAGTTTGACTGTTAGTTGAAGGAGTATAGTTATAACGTTTGCTGCACAACTTCCGTGTTCAACCCACTACGCGCAGGCAAGAGAATGAGCTTCTCGCCGCCCCCATCTTGGCTGCCATTGGAGCAGCTCCTGCCTGTGAAACATGCAGACAACGTACGAGTACCAGCGATCTTACTCAGTTTGACACCTCGCAGATGGAACGCACATCATGTATTACGTGATACGAAAAGAATATATTTATCATTGATATATTGCAAGTAATATATATATATTATATAATAAATATATAACTATATTAATCTTTATACGACAGCATAACTCATGTCAACTCTGTGCAAAGTCTGATGACCCACACGGATGAGACCAGGGATGAGCTGATCACTCCACTCCTTCTCCAGGTGAGCGTTCACCCGGTCCCGCGCATTGTCCACCTGGTCCGCGGTTCCCGAGAAGACCACCTCAAGGGGCCAAGACCGTTCTGAAGACATATCGATTGATTCTATAGCAAGAAATAGCAATATAGATGGTGGTAGATTGGAGATATTCCACCTTCTACTCCAGGATGTTTCTTCAACATCTATACAGTATAGCCTCAGATGAGACCTCTTCCAGAGATCCACGCAGTGCTGTAGCCCAGTTGGCTGGTGGATTGGTCGATGAGGATGTGAGCACCCGTCTCCTGCCATGGGTTCACATTGAACATAACGCGCCGAACGAAACGGTACGGAACCGATATGACATCATTCAGATCAGGGATGATCAGGGCTTACCTCGAAGCAACGATGATGCGCTGCTGATGATGCTGACGACGACGATGATGATCAGCGTCTGTTTCTCAGGTCGCTGATCAATCTTACCCCACCTGACCCACTGGTTTCAGCACCAAAGAATGCCTTTTGGGTTCACCACCATGTATGGTGAACCGCGGGGTCAAAACCCAAAGCCAGTTTCACCCAAAAAGGAAGTCGTCGACCTTCCCAGTCGCTCCATGCCCCGCGGGTCCCAGGGATGGTGACGACCGGAAGGACGGACTCGGCGACTGGCGACTCGATGGCGACCCTTTGAAGGGTATGGAGACCATACTAGGTATCAACCCTTGATAGGGTCTCCATACCACTAGGGTCTCCATACACTCCTCTCTCTCTAGACGTCCCCCCCGGCGGGCGCTCCAGTTCGATCTCCTTTGCCAGGCCACCTGGGCCCGGCGAGTCGAACGGTTGAGTCGAGCGAGCCGAGAACGCGCTTCGCACTGTGGCAGTTGTCGCTAGCTCCGCTTGAGGTCTTTGTATTCCAGTCTTGACACAACATGATATCGCCGATGCCTCTGAATTAGGCATAAATGTACACGGCAGCATCTAGCGGCCGTGTGGGTCGCTCTTTAAAATCATCAGACTGACAATCAACTGATATCAACTGACAATCAGTTCAAACCATGATGTGCATCTGGCAAACATTGGCAAACACTCCGTCTCCCCACTCTCCAGGCCTTTCTTGCCCAGCAACCATCCAACCCAGCGTTGCTCGACCTCGATGGACTCCTAGAACGGAGGCCGTGCCGCGGGCCGTGCCGCGGCATTCGTTGCATGTCCGTTGAAGAAAATGGAGGACCGGCAAGCTACCTGGTCTTTCAGCGCTTGTAAATGTGCGCTGCTTCATCAGATTAATGATCAAGAATTACTTATACGTTTCAAGCCAAAACGGAACACCATGTGCTCCTTTCCGACCTGAAAGCCAATCACCTGCTCCGAAAATATCGTGAGTCCAATCGGTCAGTGGGGGTCGACTGCCTATCGCTGCAACGACTCGTCTTGCCGTTCAGCCGTCCGTCGAGAGAAGGAGCCAGCGAGGACTGTGGGAGACTGCTTTCAGCCAGCTTCCGAAAGGGATCTATAGGTATGTACCGAACCTCAGGTTAGGTACGACTGGACCCTCCTGGCACCTACATAACAGTGTCCTCCAATCACCTTCTGACTAGGCGCTTGGATGCCTAGGGTATATGCTCCTTTGTCTGCCATTTTTTCCCCTTTGGCTCCCAAGGAATGTCTTTGCTTTCCTGTGTTCAGCTGCGACATTCCTTGGTCGGCTATTTAGCATCGTCCAAAAACAAGTTTTCTTATGTGTTGATTGTTGGTGTGTTTTTGTTTCGGCCCACCCTTGGTGGCTTCCGCAAGTTCTTGCAACATGGAGCCCAGTTTTGGTCCATGATTCTGCCTATTCTGTGCCAAAACCACGAACCCTTGTGGAAGTTTCTTGTTGTGTTTGCGGTAAGTGGCTGAAAGGCAGGGCTGCTCTCACACCGCACTTGAAGATGGCACATGGACTATATCCTTATTTAACTCATTTTCTCCCGGACAGTACCTGCCCGGTGTGCCGGAAACTTTTCATTTCCCGTGCTCAAACGTTGCAGCACGTGTACCATTCTAGTTGTGGTGCTGTGCTTGGTGAGGGGTCTTTTCCCTTAGTTGACCTGGATATTTTTGAGTCCTTGAACAGGCAGGACCGGTAGATGTGTAAAAAGTGGCAGTAAGTTGGGGATTCACTCTTTTTCGTTGCCTTGATGGCAACGAACGAAGCTCCGTCGGAGGCTCAGTGCCAGGTCTGTCGGGCTATGTGTAGGAAAGGCGCTGCAAACTAGAAGCCCGCGCCAATCCTTCGTCATGCTTGAAAAAATAATTGCCCTTGTAACATCATGTAACCAAACCCACTCATGTAGTCTCGTGCACGTGTACTCACTACTTGACTCCGTACATGATCCTGCTCGACCAGTTACTTTTTGATGTCCACCACATACAGCAAACGTCTAAGAATCATTCGAGATTAGCGAATCGACATTCACAGCCCAAGTCCAAGAATCATTTTTAGAGATATGAGAAACCACACATCTCACTAAACATCATGTAAACTCAACAGCAAAAAACATCTCAAACAACACATGTGGACATCAATGCGAACTCAGCCAAAGTCTTGGAGAGTAGTAATTACATCGAGATTATATATATATATATGGCAACCACATGGAAATCACATGCTTGTGAAAAGAAAAACAATACATCTTCTTACTGTTGATTCCTGGTGTTTTTGTTAAACAACAAACACCCTCTCGACCGTCTCGACCTCTCCACCCGCCTCTCCTCAGCGACCCTTCCTTCTCGAGCCACCTTGGCCCGGTCGATGGACTGCTCGATGGCTTGCCTGTTCGTTCCAGAGGCCCGACAAGCAGGAGCAGAAGAAGGGTCTGTGAACCGCCACCGCCGGGGTTCTGATGAACAAAGGGATCTGCGAAAAAAGGGGGGTCTGATCAGGTCTGTACAAAAGGATATAAGTCTGATCAGGTCGGAAGAAGATCTGTGATAAGAATCTTTTGACCCGGCACTCCAAGCCCTAAAGAGGCCGTTTTGGGTGCACGAAGGCCGTTTTGGGTGACCGGAACGTGCCGTGCCGGACCAAAAGTATCTGCGCAAACTTGGTGTATAGGGAACGCCTTGCATCTGCATTATTAGCCCTTGATTATCAGGGCCGGGAGGTGGTCTCAAGCAAGTCTGCCAAGCAATTGAACCAAGCCCCATGGTCTCTTTTTTGGAACGTCGCACTCCAAAGACCTCCCGAGGTCCTCCACATCAAAGAGAACATGGTTTGGGAAGATACAAATAAGAAATAAGCGAATCCACATATCCTTTGAGAATCCAACGACTACATCTGTATATATATATATTATACATGGTTGATCTAGCTTGGGAAACTCACCAAACTTGCCACAAAAATCAGCCAACATCGGCATACCCTCAAGACACACGGATGGCACCAAGGAACGACCGCCTTCACATGCCACCCGGGCACCAGCCTCGCATCCGAGATTTGCTGTGGCGATCCCATGAATTGCACCTGGGCCGGTCACCCCGAGCCATAAGTGTTGAGGTGGAAATGACTTCGTGCACCGACGACTATGGTTACTTCCAATTAGTGTTCAAATGAGAAAAGGTCCGACTACTTTCAACAGTTTTCAAAGAGAAAGATTCTATCCTATCCTGGTGTTTTTTCCAAGGTTCATTGTTAGAACTTCTGCTTCTTTTCCTCCGAAGCGTACGTGGCCAACCCCCCAGTTCACTCCTCGCGCCGTCCTCCCCCCACCTGGTCGCCCGTCCAAACCACCGGGTTCGGTTCCTCCGGGGTCGCCGTCTCTTCTCCGTTCCAACGAGCCGGTCGCCGGAGCCAACGAGCCGGTCGCGTTTCGTTTCGTTTCGTTTCGCAACGTCCGAAGGGGGGGTGACTCTCTGGACGAAAGGACCGGGCCGATGTGACGAGTCTGGGCCTCCGATGTTCGGTCCTGGAGTCCAGGACTGGAACATCGGGTTTCGATCCGAAACTGGCCTTTCATGTGATGGTTTGCCAGTTTGGACTCTGCTCAACCGAAGTATAGACGTAAGCATAGTATCGACTGAATCCATCGGTGGCATGAATATATCAATGTCATCTGACACTGAGGGAATTGCCCTGCCATGATAGACATGTGAAGTCCCCCAAAAGGCCCAACTCCAGCCACGTGTCCATCCAAAAACAAAGACACACCGCGCCCTGCTTTGTCTTGGGCGCGCGACCGTGCTGTAGCCGAGGCCCTTGGTTTCCTGGTTCACAAAGATCTGACAACCGCTGGCCTCGTCGCGTTCTCGGCGCGGAAACGGATGCAAAGACACGACCGCGACACGGATGCAACGACATTGGTCTCCAGGTCTCAACGGAACATCCATTTGCCTCCATTGCCTCCTGCAGTTGCTTCTACTATAACCCCCTAATTTGCATAATATGTATATTAGTCAATGATTGATGCTTAGTACAAAGCCTTTATCGCAAAACTCAATGTGGCAAGCTGTGTTCTGAGCAGGCATGGCAAACACCCAACAACTCTGGTCACTTTTGATCCGCCGCTCGGCGTCTGACCATTCTCTACCAGCACGTTCTCTACCACTTCAAGCCCTGAAAAATCACAATATCCGCACCTTCTCAATGTCTGCAATGGCTGCACCAGCTTTTCCCAGTAGCCAGCCAACATATCGTTGCCTAAGAAACCGCTCAACCTGTGCCTGTGAGCATTGGCACACCAACCTGCTAACAGACTTATTAATAGAAAAGTCCAAAGCTCCAAAGCAAACTATTGCACAAAGGGATCACATGCACTCAGCTCCTCAGCTCTACACTTCACTTGCAGCTCCTCTCTCATGGTACCAGAGGCTGGGAGACGATCCTCGGCCAAAACAACGAGGATCTTCACTGTGAAGGGTCCTTCGTTCACAACAGAAGGGTCACCGCCTGGAGTAACAAATAGGAAGCCTCCAATTCTCACAACTTATGAAAAAGCTGCTTCTACATACAGATATCTATGTAATTAGGCTGTTTCAAGGAGCTCAAGTTTTGCTCTGAACAACGGCATGGACCAAAAGCACCTTATCCAAGTCCAGCTGTAAACATCATCAACATCATACACATCATAACGAATTTATGGCAGGTCCATCAACACCCAGGCCCATAAACCGCGTGCCGCGAGGTGAGGTCGTGTTGGCCGGGGGGGATGAACGATCACCATGGAGCGACTTCCGATGTTCCATGGGGTGCCGGGTGCCGTCCCTCCTTTCCGTCCAAAACCCGATCGAAGAGTCTTCACCTTCACCTTTCTATCCTGATGCAAAGAAGGTTGACCTCCAAAGAAGAGTCTTCACCAACGCTTTGACCTTCTTACTTCCTTTGACCTTCACTTTCTATCTGATTCGAAGAGTCTTCACTCTCTCTTTCTCGGTGCCAAAGAAGTGGAATTCTCCGTCTGAATTGACGAAGATTCCGCTGAGAATCCGCCGGAAGCCCGGCTCACCCCTGGTAGGTGGAGCGGGGGGGGCGTTCGGTGCTATGACCCACAAGCGATTGTGTCGAAAACCAAAGCGATTGGCTTTAAGCAGCTGAGATCCACGCTAGCAAGCACGGTACATTGCTTGCATCAGCTTGGCCAGCGCTGGACCTCACAGAAAAAGAGCAGCAGTGCAGCAAGACCCAGGATGACACAGGGCACCCAAGATACCAGCTCTGAGCTGCAAAGTGGGCGGTGACCGCTTGACACATTGAGGAGACTTCAACGGATCCCATACCAGCTGCGAGTGCATCGCTACAGAGTGAATCGTCCGCTCGCTCTGAGCAGCTCTGTGGCTACATGTGATTCAAAACATAATTCTCTGGTCTTGTCTCTCCTAAGGACCGAGGGATTTTGTGAGTCATGTCATGTCCTGCAAACCTCCTACATGATGATCGAGGGCTTCGGGGGGATTGAGTGCCAGCTTACTTGGCGCTTGAGCGCCGGTGTTTTCCATGAGGGCTTCAGCACTCGAACACTCATTATATATATATATAACAATGCGAACGGATGGAAAGGTGTGCCCTGGCCCCGTTCTAGCTCTTAGGTCAACATGAAGCTCGCGCGCTAAAGCTCCTTTTTACCTGGTTGGGCACTTGAGCCAAAATGGTATATGGCATGTACCTGTATAGCGACTATACTGGGACCCCATCCCTATTGACACCCCCCACATCCGTACTTCGACGGGGAAGGGAGATGAGTGGATGTAAAAACCGGAGAACGATCATGTTCTCAAAAGTGTATTGGAGGTCAACCAGTATGTCCTATTGAATTGAATTAGCAAAAGATCTTGCATTCGCTTGAAAGTTGGATCAAACAGGCAATGGAGCTACAAGCGGAAAACGTGCACCTACCTATGGTATCATGCGATTACCAGCGGTGAGAAACACAATCCTATCTCACTCCCATGATGCCAAAACGGTCATCATGAATTACCCAAGATCCCTCAGTACTTGAAGTACCGGAAGTGGCATGTCGGTATGACCCCAATGCTCAACCATTCGTGAGTTGTCGCATGTAGTCAGCGCCGACAAAGCCAATGTAGTCCTTGATGAGCTCAACGTTCCTAGGATTTCCCGCTCGGATCTGCTCCTCGAAGGACTTCAATTTCTGCGCTTGGATAGTGGATACCTCTATGCCATAGTAGCGGCATGCAACGAGGATCTCCTTCGTGACATTCTTCCTCTCCGATTTGATGGCGGGACTAATGTCGATGAATTTGTATGGAGCGGCACTTTCGTCATCTGGTTTCTGGTAGTAACTATATCGGCTCGCTCCGAAGGTCTTCTTGATCAAGCGTCTAATGAAATTTGAGATGAATGCCAATTTCTCGATGATCTCATCCTGGGTCTCAGACTTTCGAGCCTTTGGATCACTCATGCTACGCTGAGTGCTGCCGACCTCTTTGAGGTACTTGTGGCTAAGCCCGCAGCGGATTGCAGTGATCATCATCGGATGAACAACGTGGGCGTGGAATTCATAGATCTGCCACGCTTCTGCTGCAAACACGTCGTCGGTCCATCTGCTCATGCCTACGACCTCGGCTCTCATGAGACGTCTTGGAAACCCAGTATCCGGATCATTCGGTACTATCGGCCATCTATTGTGTGGAGTGTCATGCCGCTGTCCATCGTCGAACATTCGCAGTACATCTTCACGACTCTCGAAGCAGTTGATGTCGAACGTTGCGTTGGCCAAGCCCTTGATCAACTTCATCAACCTCAAATCAAATTGCTGTGTTACGGCAAAGTTGTGGTCGATGGGGATCGCAGCTTCTTGCGGCAATTCGTCAATTGCGAAGGGGAAAGGCTTCGGAAGTTCATTCCCGTATCCATCTTGAGGGACCTCCCGATACTCGGGTTCGCCTTCAGCTTCGTCCGGTCGTTCCTTCAAAATGATAGGAACTTCCTCCTCTTCCTCTCCTTCGGATTCCTCGATCTCAATGACCTCTTCGGCTGTCTTGCGTGCGTTCTTGATGACTTCATCGATGTTTGCACCTGCAGCAGAAGTTGTCTCACCGGAAGAACTGGCTGGGACGTCTTTCGGAGGTGATCGTTGATTGCGGTCCCTTGTCTCCTTGGGTACCACATGAGTGAGCTTCCCATTCGCGATCAAAACCGCTACGCAGTGCGGACATATCGTCAATCGCACATCGACTTCGCCAAGACAGTTAGGACACGGTCTTGAGTCATAGTCTTTCATTGCTCGGCGGTACACGATCTCCTCGAAGAGTTCCTGCCACTCGGTGCTATCATATTCTGGGTAAACACCACTCTCCTCGATCATACCCAACAGCTTTGAGATTTTGGCGTCGTCCTCGGAGTAGTTATCGTCCTGAACCTCAACCGCTAAGCTCTCAAGCTTTTGAAAGCGTGGAATCATGATCGGGTTTCCGTATTTGGACTCTAGAACAAGGTAGCTTCCAGGGTCGGGTTCCCCATTGAGTAACCGGATCCATTCGATCTCCTCAGGCTGTCCGGGTTCCGCATTGTCGCATTGCAACCATGCCCCTTTAACCTCATCGAAGGGAACGACGTTCTCAACCAACAGAGAGCCAGTCGCTGAGATGAGAAGTCCGTACTCCTGCAGCTTCCACACCGGAATGTAGAGAACCACTGGGCGATCACTCAATGCGACCTTACGACCCAGCCAAGGTTTACCCTTGTAGCCCTGCTCCCAGGCCCATGGCGGAAAACATGTGAAGTGGATAGAATCCCTTCCCGATGAACCAAGACCTCCCGGCACTAGCCCTCGTCGCATGATTGAAGTCAGCGCTCCGAGATTGGTAGCGTGAAATGCAGTCATCATAGATAGGGCCATGTCGTTGGTCATTCTCGACCCAATGTGGTCGATGTCAATGGTAACGTCATAACCTCCGCCGTCCGTTGAGTGTGCCGAGGTTGCTCTTACAGCCACGGGAAAGCACCATCCATCGCTATGGTGGAGTCTTCCTTTAGAGATTCCCATGTCCTTGAGTTCGTTGATCCATTCCTTTTCCATCGGGTCATCAGGCTCATTGAGTTCATCAGGGTGAACGCGGACCGCCAACATTTGGAATCTGACCCTCTTGGTTATGCGGAAACACTCATAGTTCTGGTCGAAGTACTTCTCCAAACGCGCCTTCTTGGTCACGATATCTATGTTGCCGTAGTGATAACCGTCTTCCCAAACTGCATTATCACCTAACAGGTCTTCCCATGACACCCATGCGCCTTCATCGCATTTGATTGGTGCGAGTCTTCCTCCTGTCCTGAACTGGCGTCCAATTCGATGTCTCAACTTCGCTCCCAATCGACGACTCAGGGCCTGGCTCGCTTGGCTGTATTCAGGTACTCGACAGTCTGGAGTCGGATACTTGTGGTTGCCGTAGTCGGAGTTCTTTGCAGCGAAAGTGACTCCGTTGATCGGTACTAGTTCAACTTTCCCGACCATCGTCATGGGGTCGATCGGCTTGTATCCCTTCTCCCTCCGTGTTGGTAGGGGATAGAAGTGATGACATGCCTTTGGTGTGAGGGAACTGGAGTGCACAAATGCCTTCTCTACAAATTCGTACACCACTTTCATATCCTTAGGGCCTGCTTCCGCAAGCTTCCGCCCATTGTAGGAATGTGGCCCTCCTTCGACTCCATCAGCACTTTCGATCAAGGTGAATCCGTCATGGTCGAACATTGTCACGACTCTTGCTTTTAACATTTCTTTTCGCCTGAACTCGCTGTCGACCTTCCTATCTGGAGTGGGCGATGCTCTCTGCTTCTTCTTCTTCTTAGGCTCCTCGGTTGGCTGTCCATATGGTACATCGTCGGGCGCAACCTCTCCCTTCACTCTCTTCTTCCAATCACTCAACACTGAGGTGACTGTAGGTGAAGATGAAGGGGTCTTCTCGCAATTGAGGGTTGTGTGCCCCGACTCCATGCAGTGGATGCAGAATTCTGCCTGCCCGATCTTCCTCTCAAATTCGTCGATGGCTTGCAGTATTGATGTCTTCGGGTCGGACATGTCAACATCTTGCTCCTCCTTCTCCTGTCCACATTCAGTCTCCATATCGACACCTTCGGCCTCGGGCTGGTCAGTGGCTTCTGTTCCCTGTTCTGGTTCTTTCCCAATTTCGAACAGAAGTGGTCGATGTCGAATTCAGGAAGCGGCATGGTCCTCATGCGAACGAGAATCAGTGCCACGTTTGCCGCCTCATCAGAGTGCGGGTCCAAGGTTCTAATCATCGATCGCTTTCGGTTCTCATACGTTGTCCTGTCGTACAGTGATGCAGTGACGCGTTTGATGGATTCTTCTAATCCCGTCCTCAAAGCTTCGATGTCACCCCATCCCCTGAACATGTGCCTGAAGAGTTGAGCAATTTCGAACATGCCCAGCAGCGCTTCCACCATGTCACCTACCCGTTCCTCCGTGGGATCATCTCCGAATATAGTGCGGAATACATCGGGTTCCAGTATGGTCTTGAGGTATTTGGTGTAGCATACGTTGCCAAGGTCATAGGATCCCTGGTAGTACTTGGCGCTGCCGACTATCTGCTTTTCCACATGGATGCTGGGTCCTCTCCTCGTTTTGAAGAAGTTCTCCGTCATTGTTGATGACAACCTGATCCCCCCGAAGAACGAAATCTCCTTCTGGAAACCTGGATTCTCATTGAAGATGATCATCGCCTCGTGTAAAAACTTCATCAAGTCATCGTGCGGATTCATCTCGGAGATTACGACGGTGGGAGAAGATACCGTTTGCCCCATGCCGAAGTTGTGAAGCAATCGAGCGCATGCATGAAATCGCTTCTGGACGTAATCTTCTGCGGACATCCCACGGCATCTGTTTGCTGCTCCGTTGATGCATTCCGCATAGCAATCGTCTTTCAAATCGGAGTCTATGGGATGGCAGACCAGACAGTAATCGCAGCAAATTTCCTCACCCTCCTTAAAGTCATCAATGACGTACCACCTTTGAGTCCTTGAGTACATTGGTTCTGGCTGAAGGACTCCCCAGTACTCATCCATCCATGGCATCTTGTTTTCTCTCCTTACCTTCTCCCTCTTCCTCCTCTCAGACTCATTCTCACCTGAAGGCTCCGCAGTGGACTGATATGCATGGCTTCCTCTTACGGAATC